GGAGAGGATCATCAATGCCTACTTGCGCAAAGACAGCAATGCATGGCTACTGCAATTTGCGCAAGAGCCGGGAGCATGTTGACTGGGCAACTTCCGGGAGCAACGTCAATCAAAGGCGATGACCGACGCGCAAGAGACTTAGACAACGCTGACGTGCGAATAAAGAGCCTTGCAAATCGACATGACGGCTTTGGCGCTGAGTGGGTTTATCGACTGGTCACGGAGGAGGATCAATTTGTTCACCAGAGATAGGCCACTCAAGACGCTGAATATCGCCAAGAGTTTCAGCCTCGTCTTCAAGAATGGTGATGGACCGAGCCCCATGAGTTCTTCCATTGCTGCTACCCTGATACGTGCAGTGGCCCTTGGCGGTGTGGATCGAAGACGTACCAGAATGGGTAACAAAGATGGATGAAAACGCACCCAGGACTACTGCCTCAGTAAACGAACGCGTGACCGTCGCCAAACAGGGAAACAATTGGATTCTTGACCCCGGGCAGGACCTTGGGAAGAGCCCGAGTGCGCTGATGAAGCTTTCAAGTGCAGCGAATGGAACGGCGGTCGTCGCAGTCACCAACGATGCCGCGCACGCAGCCAAGCTGATGGAGGCAAATGTCTGCTCTGCGAAGAGTATGTTGACGGAGAAAGTCATCGGTGCCCCGACACCGGGGACCAAGTATGTGAAAGCTGTTGAAGCAGCGTGTTTGACTGAGCCGGCGTTGGTGTTCAACATCCCACAAGGACATGCAAGCTCCGAAGTCCGTTATTCGCACAAGCTTGATTCCGTACTTCAGGAAAAGCCGCGTGTGCGAGAACACCAGGAGACAGAAGGGTGAGAGCGCTGCGTGGGACAGCCGGACAAGAACATGCGGCTTTCCAATCTGTCTCCCACACAAACTTCTTAAACTTTCAAGCTACGACTCAGTCGCGAAGAAGGAGGTGCGCTTCCATTCTCCAACATATTCTTCAGCCCACGGAGACCAAGAAGATCCGGGCAGCTGATGAATTGTCTTACACACAGACCTCCGCACAGAGACCCAACATCCTAACATTGAACGTTGGCAATTTGGAGGCATGCGATTTGCGCCCAGGCCGCAGACTGCGTAGTCAATCCCATCGTTCATAACACCTTCGTAGAGGCTGGACGCGCCAGCGTCGTGCTAACCAACGAGGAGCGGGTGTGCCAGAGCGCGCCTTCTTCGCAGATTTGCGGTTGCGAAGTCGCCCTCGTGGATTTTGACTGGAGCAAACTCTAGAGTTTGGGGTCGCAGGAAGCCAAGGTACCTGTACACAGATCCAGATCAGGGGTGCCTACAAGAGCAAGGTATGATCTAAAAGAACCCTTGTTACGGCCCCGCTCAAAAGATATTCTTGGCGCGGAAGATATCCAACCATTCCGCGAGGGACGCGTCTTTTACGTGGATTGCGGGAATTACGGGCACGCCGCCAAACCTGTCATAACAGAAAAGACAAAAAAGCAATTTCCGCCGTTCATACGTGCGCAGAGCCGTCCATTCCTTTTACGGCGGGCGTCTATCGCTACGAGCGCAAGGCCGTCAGAAGACTCGTCCAGAAGTCCTCAAAAGAGGAAAACAGTTCCTGGCAGATATATGCAAAGTCAGGACGCAGCGTGCTCGGCAAGAGGCAGTTGATTTCACATCCTCAACTCTCAGCTCTCCAGTTTGTCATGAAGCAGGTGGTTGGCAAAGCTTTTCAGTGCACATGTGATGCTTGCAAAGCAAGACCACGCCACTGCCTTGTGACGGGATAATGGCGTCTGATGTCTCATCCAAAGAAAGAAGGAGGTCAGCCCGGCGGCAAAACACATAGCAATGGGGCGAGGTCTTCCCAGTGCGCCCTTGCAATTGAAACAATAAGTGCTCAAGCAGCGCGCCCAAATTCTTCGCTGCTTTCAAATAAGCTGTGTGCAGCTCTCTATTCCCGGATGGTTTCGCCTTATCGGCAATCACCTTGAAAAACTCATCCGGTCCTGCCTCGCCAAAAAACTCCAACCACAGAGAAGCGCTGGTCCTTAGAATCTTGTGATAATCACTGACACACACACACACGCGCGTGTGGCATTGCAAAGGTCTATCGCCGCTCTTGCGCGCGATGGCCAGCCTACGGCAGAGCTTGCGCGCCGTTGGCTGTGAAATCCTCATTTAATTTGCCAAGGCTCCTTACATTCCATGATGCAGTGCGGAAAAGCCAGGAGCCAACCAGCCACGACAGCCAGCGAAAGGCTGAACCATTGCGATTCTGTGCCGATGTGTTGCCCAGCTGCAAATACAAATGTTGCCGTCGGACCCCCTCCACTGCGACATCCAGGCAACGCGCGAGCATCTCCATCGTCACCGGCGGGTCCTTTCGCATATCCGCGCCCGACAAAAAATGTCCGTCGCCCCATGTATAGTTGCACCTGTGAAGTGCAGCCGCGACAATGTGAAATTGTCGCTTTCCTTGCTTGATTCCCGCAATCGGTGTCTGAGGCAGTTAAACTTTGCCTGGTTCACACCATCAATGCAAATCACCAACACTTCTTCCCGGGATGTGGGAACCGGTCCTCTGGCACTCTGTTCAGACTTCCTACTGACATCACATGATTTGCAGGTGGGCTTGCAAAGTTGCCTGCTTCGCCTCCTTGGAGATGGCTTGAGTTCGGCGCGGAGCATATTTCACACAAATCTTGCACTTTTTGGGCTGCCCATGCGAGCGCAAATGGATGGCGCAACGCCACTTCTTCCAAACACGTTTCATTGTTCGAATTGAAACGCGTTTCCCCCCATTCAACACTGACGGCATTATCCTCCTCATGGAGACCAACAACGTTTTCACACCAGGAAAGCAATTGCAAATACAAATCCTCCACGGTTGCAAAAAGCAGGGGTCTGGGTTGCAAAGTTGTTGGATCAACCAGCTGACACAAAGGGTCTGCCATCAGCTCTGAGATGTTATCAATTGGCTCCAAGGGGATGGCCCGGACACTAGGATGTCAGACTCTTAAGGCGCATCAGGGCGCTAAGACCCTCTGCCGAAAACCCCATGGCATATGTCAGCTTTTTTGCTGTCATGCTCACGCAGGCTCATTCCAGCTACGCGACCATCTTGCGGAGGCCCAGTGTGGCCTTCCAAGATGTTTGTGGCAATGGTTGTCAGCTTGCAACAGCCCACGCCAAGTACCAAAACTTGCTTGGGCGCCTTGTAGCCAAACAGGGCCCATGATATCTCATCACTTTGCTTCGTTGAACGGATGGTTTCTGTCAGCCAGGCTGTTTTTGCGACCATTGTTCCACAATTGAATTTTGTGCCGCAAGGCAGGCAGGTCTGGGAATATGCGTGTTGCACTTGAAGGAAAGCATCTCTGGAGATGTGCTGGAAGCAAATTTGGTGCACCCAGCAAAGACATCAAGCCGTTGCTCTTAACATCGCCAGCACCGCTGTTGCTGCTGCTGCTGCCACTGATATCGTTGAAATCACTTGGTTCCCGATCGGAACTAATGATCTGCAAAAAATGTCAGGGTTTTGCTCATCACTGAGGCTCATGAGTGACACGATGCGCAGGCACTGCCGTTGTTATTATTAGTCGCAACAGCTCACCACGAGGCGCGCGCGAACTGCAGCAAGAGCAAACTGTATTTACCTACCTGCGCTTCCTCAGTCACAATCTGCAAGCCCAGCCATCGCAACCTTCTCAAATGAGTGTCTGGCAATCGACAGTTGGAGCAGCTCCATGGCGCGCGCATTGCGCTGCCATCGGAGTTGACGCAGCCCAGAAAATGACACAGCCTGCGAATTGCTAAAAGCTGCGTGATGGTTTGCTGCTGCAGCGGGTGCAAAGGCGGTAGGCTTTGGCCCCGGTAGACCCACGGAGGTGATAACAATCACGGTCTACCTCCAAACTGACCAATCCAACATGCCCACCAGAAAGGACACCGCATTGAGGAGCAGCGCCGCAAGAGACAAAATCAGCATTATACTATCCATCGCTTGCGCGCGACAAGGGCGGCCGGGTCAATGAGTTTGAGGCAAGACAGCTAGTCTACAAGACAAGCTCGATTCAAGTTCAAGCGCAAGTTCAACTGCAAGTTCAAAGCAACGGTTATTTTGTTTGACATGCTGGAATCCTGGAACAAATGATTACTATGCCCCATCCATCTCTTCAGAAGTCGATGATATTACAGGAGCTTCATCACGTTGAAGGGTCAGATAACCTCTCGGGCAAAGGCCAGTTGCTAACTGCAGACATGCTGCCACGAGAAGAACCAGAACCCCATCGTCTGCGAGTGCACCCACTATCATGTTCCAGGGGGTTGGGGGGGTGTTGTCACGGCAAACACCATCATGTCCAGCACTGCGCCGCTTGAAATTCCCAAGCCTCATCGATCAGAATTTGACCGGTTGACTGCGAAATGCGCCGCCTTGCAAGCTCCATTGGAGAGCTGTGCCAGCGCGTGCGATGCGCGGCGCTTGGTTCTCAGCGCCAGGCGCTTGGCATTGGTTCTCAGCGCCAGGAAATTCTGGCTTATGTGAGGCATGTGCATGAAGCAGACTCCCGGATGCCTCCCGGGCCGCCTTTCTCTCCTGGCTTCCCATCGGTTACTATTACGGGCATCCGTATGGCATCCACACGGGCATCCATTGCCGCACCCATCAAAAGCCCTGCCAAGGCGAGGAACGAGAAACTCAAAGCGAACCCAACCCTTGAGAGCCAATATGGCACTCCGCGGACATTGAGATACAGTCGAGGAAAAATAACGCCGGCAACTCAACTAGGATAGTATTCAATGTAAACGTTGCGGACCCAAGAAAACAACATACCACTGACATGACATGTCGTGACAGAAGCTACGCAGAAGCACTTTCACACATTCAAAATTTGAAGCACTAGCAAAAACCTAAGCACGAAAAGCACTCAACTCCACAAGACGCACCCTAAACACCACTTGATGCGCCCGATCCATTTTTCGCGCGCACACACAACACAGACAACGCGCGTCGAGGAAGCTCTTCGGCACCAGCGGCCAGTCCTTCGGCGCTTTCGCTGTGAAGGGCGTGTTGTTGGAGTTGGAGGGCGACTCCCAGGACACGGAACTGTCCATCAAGCCAAATGCCAGCTTGACAGGGTATGATTGGATTCAAGGTTTCGCGCGAGCTGCCACACGTTTTGTCAGTCACCCTCTTTTGTTAGGACTACTTTGGCAAGGGTCTGAGCGGGGGCGCGCTCGCCATCTACCCTTCGCGCAAGGCTCGCTTAAGTTCAACTGACCGAAACATTGTTTTTGGAGAAATTTGCCAGGCCATTGCTGCGGGCTTTGAGTCGGAGAAGAACATCATCATCGGCAACACAGCCCCTTCGGTCCGACAAAGCCAGAACCAGACATGCAAGCGCAGCGCAAGTCCTTCGCAAGTTGGCATATGTAGTTCATCACGTACACATATGTCACGCGCGCACGCGTGCACATATAGACACATACACACATCTACACACACACACACGTGTTCCGTATACGCATAGCACATGTTTACATATACTGTACACACATATACACAATGTCACATATGCACATGTTCACATACGCACACATTCAATCCTTCGTTGTTCCTTCGTTCCTTCGTCATCTTTTCTATATTCCTTCTTTCCTCAATTCCTTCATTCCTGTATTCCTTCATTCCTTCACTTTCTTTTTCTTCCTTCCTTCCTTCCTTCCTTCCTTCCTTCCTTCCTGCCTGCCTGCCTGCCTGCCTGCCTGCCTGCCTGCCTGCCTGCCTGCCTGCCTTCCTTCCTTCCTTCCTTCCTTCCTTCCTTCCTTCCTTCCTTCCTTCCTTCCTTCCTTCCTTCCTTCCTTCCTTCCTTCGTTTCTCGCTGCTTCATTCCTTCACTCCTTCATTCCGTCGTTCCTTGCTTCCGTGCTTCCTTGCTTCCTTGCTGCCTTGCTTCCTTGCTTTTTTTGCTCCCTTGCTTCCTTGCTTCCGTGCTTCCTTACTTCCTGGCTTCCTTGCTGCTTTGCTTCCTTGCTTCCTTGCTTCCTTGCTTCCTTGCTTCCCTGCTTCCTTGCTTCCTTGCTTCCTTGCTTCCTTGCTTCCTTGCTTCCTTGCTTCCTTCCTTCCTTCCTTCCATCCATCCATCCATCCATCCATCCATCCTGCCTTCCTGCGTTTCTTCATTCATTCGTCGAGTTTTGCTTCACTCACACGCGCGTTCGGCCATCCATTTTATTCATGGTGCATGCCTCCGTTTCTTCATTCGTTCGTTTGTTCGTTCCTTCCTTCCTCCCTCCCTCCCTCCCTTCCTCCTTTCCTCCCTTCCTCCCTCCCTCCCTCCCTCCCTCCCTTCCTTCCTTCCTTCCTTGCTTGCTTGCTTGCTTGCTTGCTTGCTTGCTTGCTTGCTTGCTTGCTTCCGCCCGCCCGCCCGCCCCGCCCGCCCGCCCGCCCGCCCGCCCGCCCGTCCGCCCGTCCGTCCGTCCGTCCGTCCGTCCGTCCGTCCGTCCGTCCGTCCGTCCGTCCGTCCGTCCTGCTTGCGTGTGTGCATGCGTGCGCACACACACACACACGTACGCGTACACTGTGGATCACATAAACAAACGCGCGCGCAGCAAAACACACGCACAGACAGACAGATGCGCAGCAACTACTTCTGTGGGACATGTGTTGCACGCTGCGAGCCTTGAGCTTCAATGCTACATGCGAGTGTTCTGGAAAACAGGTGCGGAGTACGATAGAGGTTTGACCAGATTGATTTTAACGTGGTAGCGAAGCTGGGACCCTTCACATGGGGGAGCTCCAGTATACTACAGTAAGCGCAACAACAGCAAAGCCACCGCGTGCCAAACTACCACGACATGTCAGGAGAACCAGCGTCAGCATCAGCTCAGCCATCTACAGGAGCGAGCGACGGACCAACCGCAGCAGAGACAGCCGCAACGACTACAGGAGCAACGCAAGAACAAGACAGCGACGTCCAAAGGCTACACAGAGACAGAGTGCCGCCGCCATTCTTTAATCGTGACTACTCGCAGTGTGAAGCAGGACTTCTCAATCTACAAGCGTATTTTGGACGAACGAACCGAGACTTTGACCTGGTACTACACTAGCACAAGTGGTTACACGACAGATTGAGGACTCATACATCAGATCCCACATGCGTGACACTACACAAGCAACGAAAGAACCGGGCCTCGCAAGAGACACACACACCACATCCTCATCAACATTTGTTAAGGCCGGCAGCTACAGCAGTACGACAGAAGCGCCGCAGTGTCAATGGCAGTGTGAAACAGTACGGCTGTTGCGCAACAGGTTTCGCCTACCTGTAGGAACGCGAAGCGCTGGCTACCTCACCAAACTATGGGAATACGGCGCTAAGCGCTACCATGCGCCACTACCAGCAAAGGCAAAGGGCTACGTAGGATCAATCGGCTACGGAGCACGCGAAGTTCTACAAGGCCAAAGGGAACTTCACCAAGTCAAAATGGAAAAGGAAACCGTAGCTACATGACATGCCATAGATATGTCAGAGCCCCAGTTTGGCGCGTAGGAAACGGAGAAGAGTTACAACCGCCTGAGCAAGACCAAGAAGCTCAGCAAAACAATGAGAAACTACCTCAAAACGCGAATGACAGACAGCTGGGATTGGCACAGACGCCGCGCGGAGGAGCGCTACGAGTGGTGCGCCTACGACAGATGGAAATGGAACGATCGTGAGTGCGAAGATGCAGCAAAAAGCGTCGAAGGCATCAACGAGTCACGCCTCGCAATTGGACGCGCCAGAGAAGCAAAGTCACTACCTCGCAAGCAAAAGACACGTCGCGCGCAACGCCCTGGAATGGCCGAAGCGCAGCCGCCAACAGCGCCGACAAGAGGGCGCGACGCAAACTGCGCCTTGACGCAGCAGCAGGAACTCAAAAGCAGAAGCGACCCGAGATTGAAGACAGCGTCGCTCGCTACATCATGTGCTCCAACTACAACTGTAAACCGTGGCGGACAGGACACCTCCTGTCTACGCCCTCAAGTGCTACAAGCAGGACAACTTGAGGATCACGATGCCATATCGCGCTTGTGATGTGAAGTATCCTACCATCACACACACGGGCAACAAAAGACAATCAGGCCTATTCTACATACGAGCAGAGAAAATCGACGCTCCTAATGGACACGACATCTACAGACAATGGGAAACCCGTTGCTGTGACACAACTGGCTGAGGAAACACAACAATGACAGAAAACCAGACCAAGGGCTAAAATGAATCCTTGGCGGAAGCGCTGACTACACCGACTGACATCAAAGACTACACCGACGCGACAAAGCTGTTCACCGCAAACTTTGACAGAGACACCGCCGGCAAGATCAACACTTCAACTACGGACTCTGCGAAAGGTTTAGAAACCCAAAGCCGCATCCTCGACAGACATCGACGCCGCAGATCAAAAAAGGAGGCCCCATCAACCACTGGCAGCGCCAGCAGGCAGGCAGGACTACCGGGATCGACAAGGTGAACGCGCTGAATAAAACACCACGCAACAATGCCCGCCACACTTCTGACATTTACAAATGGACCAGGACATCCGCCAATCAACGCACGCGAGCCGTTTAGAATTGCAGCGGCTAGCAACAGCTTCGAAGTCTCGCAACACAAAAGACGACTGGACAGTCATCGGCAGCGCAGCGCTAAACTTCCAACGGAAAGGCGCAACAAGGTTTACCATCAAGAGGGGCTACGAATACCCGCAAGCGGGGCACGACGAAGAGCAACACTACGAACACCACGAAGCGCGCGAGGCATCGTGAGGACCACGACAACTTCAACAACCAACGCTGCAACAAGCAGCAGAACACAACTGAACGCACTAACTTTATAGTAGCTGGTTTCCAATTTGCGCACAAGGCGCAGGACGCCAAGACAACTACAAGAAGCAACAGTTACGACAACGTGCCAGACAAGTAGATTTTGCCTACGTCAAATCACAACAAGATTCGAAGACCGGGCCTGTTCTAACTGCAGAAGATGCGGTCCGGGACCACATGGCCCATCACCTTACAAGCGTTCACCTTTGCTCTCGGAAGAGCGCAAGGCGTGCGACAATGCAACAACGAAGACGTCCAAAGTCGGCTCAATGACAGTGCGACGCTCACAGTCCTACAGCGGCAGCCGTCAAGGCAGCGTTGAACGACTACGAAGAGCGCTGCTTGGGCAGCTACGCGGCGTGGGAGCACAGTTGAACGCAACTACGGCATGACAATGTCAGCGCCGCGTTGTCTACCACAGTGGATTGCACGACGTGCAGCATGGACAGTCAGTAGCTGTGTTGTTCTCTCCGACGGCCGCACGAGCTTTGAACGCCGTCGGGGAAGAAATTGCGAAAGCGCAATTCGCAAATTCGGCGAAACAGTACTTTACCTTCACGCTCAACACAAGAAACTATCAGAAGCAGACCTCCGAATGCAGAAAAGTCTTTTTCACTCCGGGAAGAGAACGTCGCAACAGAACAAGCCGCGCGGCGACCGCAACCAGGCTTCAAGTAGGACCTAGCGCTACTGAAGAAGGTTACTGGCACGCCTTGTGACACTTATGACCTGTCATAGGCAACACTACTAGACAATCAACTAGACATTTAAATTCGCCCTGGGAGAGGAGACGAGCTGCAGAGCAACAGACAAACGTCGCAGACAACATTGTCGCAGAACCAGCGACAGAACAACAACGCTCGTCGTCACTTCCACCAACCACGGCATTCACGTCGCGGCACCGACCGTGCTGCAACATCCACCACGACGCATGACGCTTGAAGAAGTACCGCGACCAAGCAAGGCTCACAAGACACCGAAAGACGCTACAGTCAGAACAGCTGAAGAAACCGCCAGAGAACCACAACCACAAAGACAAAGAACCAACGCAGTAACGTTGTCCAACGGCGCGGAAGCGAGTCGGACAAAAGAAGCCTCACGACTCCTACGACGAAGTAGACGCTTCTACCTTCGAGGACGACGTCTTGAAATCAGCGATCCCGCATGATGGTTCCGCTGATCGCCGCAAAGGGCCACATCGAGAAGACCAAGGGCTCCACCTGCGCCTCTACACTAATGTTCGCAACATTACGGACGCTTCTAGCGCTACAGGGCCGGTTTGCAAGACTTGGTGACTTTTCTACCACACGCCTAGACGCGCCCATCGCCAAGGGCAACAAAAGCAAACAACGTGATGTCTACATTGACCGCCTAAGGAACAATGTCTACTACAACATATACTATGGCGACCCGACTAAAGAAACCCGTGTTGTAGGGACTGCAAAGTCCACCTAAGGCTTGTCAAGACTGACTACAGAAGCTCGGCTTTGTAAGACCCAAGTC